AAGTATATACATGTGTCTTAACTGTCTGTGTATGCATTTTCATTGAATTTTTTAGCTTGCTGATGTTCATCTCATAAGAGATTGAGGATCTTTTAACTTTTTCTTATCTATGATCTAATATCGCATATAAATGATATGTTGGGAATATATTGGTAGTCCTTCAATCATCTTGCAAGTCATTCGAACAGAAGGGTATCTCTGAGTTCCACTTTGGCCTGAATATCGAGATTGCATTACCTTCTATTGCTGTTGAATGGAGTGATTTTTTATGTTGAATTTGCTACATCTTATTGTCCTCCTTTTCTGATTTGAATTTGTCATTTTCATAGTTTATATGCATTTTTGTTGCAATGTATAACAATCTTTATAGAAGAAAATGGGCTTTTCCTTAATTTTTCTCTTCTTTTCTGTTTTCCAGAAAAGAAAACAGCCTCTCTGCCCCTCGGGGTAGAGGTAAGGTCTGCGTACATATTACCCTCCCCAGACCCCACTTGTGGGATTACACTGGGTTGTTGTTGTTGTTGTTGTTGTTGTTTCTGTTTTCCAGGATGATTCATATCTTGAAAGTTACATTAGCACCATTGGCGTGGACTTTGTAAGTGATCCATTCACTCTATTATATAATGCCTGCATAATAAATGTTTGCAGGATATCAGTAACAATTGCGTTCTCTTGTAGAAAATACGCACAGTGGAACAGGATGGGAAAACCATAAAACTTCAAATTGTAAGTATTTGAACTCCAAGTGCCTTGGTAATTTACGTCGTCGAAGGGATTGCGGTTCGCCAGAATCTTTTAATCCCCTGTGCCGTTTTCCATAAATTAAGAGAGACAGAAATTGAGTTAGAAGCCACAATCTACTTGATAAAATCTATAAATAATATGATCCATTCTAGACTTGTTATAGTTCTTTTAGAGGCTAATTTTTCTCTGCCCTGTTACATGCAGTGGGACACCGCTGGTCAAGAACGTTTTAGGACAATCACCAGCAGTTACTATCGTGGGGCTCATGGCATAATTGTGAGAAATACATTCTTTCTCATACTTGTTCATGGATTTCATTTTTTATTTATCAAGGAGATCTTATTCTGATGGCATCTCTTCAGGTGGTTTATGATGTGACTGATCAAGAGAGCTTTAATAATGTCAAGCAATGGTTGAGTGAAATTGATCGATATGCGAGTGATAATGTAAACAAGCTTCTTGTGGGAAACAAGTGTGACCTCACAGCGCAAAAGGTAGTTGCCACTGAAACAGCTCAGGTAAGGAGTCATCCACTACACCTTTATTCTAGACTCTGTCCCTGAAAACTTGGGAGAGGATAGAGGCGAAGCTAGAATTTCAAGCTTATGGGTTCAGCATTCTAAGCCTTTTAAGTTACTGGGTTCTAAATTATTAATTTATAACGAATTCATGAATTTTTCAAGACAAAATATAAGGATTGAACCAAAGCTACTGGGTTTGCCGAACCCGGAGCCACAATGCGGGCTCCGCCCCTGGGAGAGGATGCTTCTGTCCGCTAGAGCTTGTATTATAACTTAATGGAATTCGTAATATGCAGACTTTCGCTGATGAAATTGGTATTCCTTTTATGGAAACAAGTGCAAAAAGTGCGACCAATGTGGAGCAGGCTTTCATGGCCATGGCTGCTTCAATCAAGGACAGGTATCAGAAATCGGACATTCATAGATATACCTCTGAATATCTTTGTAAGGATGACTTATTATGATTCTTTGCTTTTGTAGGATGGCCACCCAACCCGCAGCGAACAATGCTCGGCCTCCAACTGTGCAGATCCGTGGACAACCTGTCAACCAAAAGAGCGGTTGCTGCTCAACTTGAAAGGAATTAGGACGATGATGCTTCTGATGTGGCATGTAAAATTAGTCCCTCAGTAGTTTGATGTGAAGATACTACTATATTTTTTCAGCCTTTTGCCAAAAATCCATTCTTTAAGCAAAATTTGTACAAAAGCTAGGAATATTGGTGGAATTAATAGTGTTTGCTTTCATTCCATACTTTGAACCTTCATCTGAATGATTTAATCAATCGTCCAAGTCTTTACTGTCGTATTTCTCTGATCTGTTCCTCTTTGGGAGCTACTGGTTTTCAGCCCTCTTGCTACTTTTTGAGGTGATCAATTATTGAGCGTCCGAAAATCAATTTACATCTCATTTGGAACCTCTTTTACCAATGGATGAACAATAAGAATGCTTCATTAACAAGAAGGGGAAGCGACGAAGAAACATACATAAACATAAACAAACCCAGTATGTTTCCACCGGATGGGGTCTGGGGAGGGTAGTCTGTACGCAGACTTTACCCCTACCTAATAGGTAGAGAAAATGTTTTCAATAGACCCTCGGCTCAGGAAGGGTAATGAGAAGAAGTGGATAGCAAGAAAGGAAGAAAGAGGGAAGAGAAAAGAAAAAAGGAGAGATAAAACCACATAACGTAATAAAAATCTAAGAATATGAAGGGACATGCGTGCTACTAAAACTATCGGTGAGCAACTAAAAATTACCCACTAAGCTTCTACCTTAATCATCGATCTCCACACCCTCTTATCAAGGGTCATGTCCTCAGTAAGCTGAAGCAACGTCATGTCCTGTCTAATCACCTCTCCCCAGTACTTCTTAGGCCTATCTCGACCTATTCTCAAACTCGCCATGGCCATCCTCTCACACCTCCTAACAGGGGCATCCATGCTTCTTCTCTTAACATGTCCGAACCATCTCAGCCTCGACTCCCGCATCTTGTCCTCCACGAAGGTGTAACGATCCGGTCGTTCGCTCTAAGAGTTATAGCCATGTTTCCCCCATTTATGCTTCTTTGTATGTTGTTCAGCTCTGTTGAGTTATATCAAGTTGGTAGGTTTGGGTTCGAAATAGTTTTGGAGTGAAATGATCACTTAGTCTCTTAGTTAGAAAGCTAAGTTAGAAAAGTCAACCAGAAGTTGACTTATGAGTAAACGAATTCGGATTTGGATTTTTTATGATTCGATTAGCTTCGTTGGGTGATTTTAGACTTAGAAGTGTGTCCGGATTGTAATTTGGAGGTCCGTGGTAGAATTAGGCTTGAATTGGCGAAAGTAAAAAAAATTAGCGATTTTTTGTCGGCAGCGAAAAATTAGGTATCGTGGTCGGAATGGAATTCCGGGTGTTGGAGTAGGTTCGTAGTGTCATTTGTGACGTGTGTACAAAATTTGAGAGCATTCGAACGCGGTTTAATAGGTTTCGGCTTCGTTGGCAAATTTTGGAAGTTTAGAAGTTCTTAGGCTTGAATTCGAGGTTGATTTGGTGTTTTGGTGTTGTTTTGGGTGTTCTGGAGGTTCGACTAAGTTTGGGTAGTGATATATGACTTGTTAAAATTATTGGTTGAGATCCCGAGGGCCTTGGGTGAGTTTCGGAGAGGTTTGGGTTGTGTTGCGCTCGTTTTTCTTATGTTTCGACGTCGTTTCTTCAAGCATAAATGATATCATATTGAACAAATGAGCTCCGATTTCTTTTTTGATTGAAGCATTAGATCTGTATCGTAATTATGAACCCGCAAAAAAAAAGAATGGTCGAATTCGGACATCGTATCAGGATTTTATGGTTATTTTACTAAGAATTAGGTTGCCAGATTTTTCAGATTAATTATGAAATTGCCACTGACAGCGTATTTAAAAATCTGCACTATTTACAAATATTGAAACCAACATATCTCATTCATTATAAGGTCAAATTGAGTGATTCAAAAGCCTAACTTGATTAGAATTTCACAAGGAATCTATTGGAGGAATAAAAACGACTTTCGGGATCATTTGGTACGAGAAACGAGGCAGAATAGCTGGCAGAAAAATATATAAAACAAGGGTTTGTTCATTCGGTCATATTTTGAGTTGGGAGCTCGGATTTGGGCGTTTTTTGAGGCGATTTTACCATATGGATTGGGGTAAGTGTTCTCTACTCGGTTTTGGTTATATTTCATGAATCCATTTTCATTTTGGGATTTGATTGATGATTTCAAAGTGAAATTGAGGGAGTTAGTGCTTGAGTTTTGGAGAGCTTTAGGTAAGGATTTGAGGGACCAAACAGAGTCCGATTTTGATAAATTTTATATGGTTAGACTCGGGAGAGGACGAGGTTTATTATTCTGTCATTTTTGCCCGGGGGCCAGATTTTGGCCGGTTTTAGATTTTTGGCCTATTTATATAGCTTTTATTGTGGAATTCAATTCTTTAGCCTATGTTAATAGTGTTATTCTGATTGTGGATAGATTCGGAACTCTTAAAGACCGAATCGAGGGACGAGGACATCCCGGAGTAGGATTTCATACTGTTAAGGTAAGTAACAGTTTTAACTCTGGCTTTGAGGGTATAAACACGGAGAAATTGATATCATGTGATTGTTTGGTGGTGATACCCATGCTAGGTGACGGGCGTATGGGTGTGCACCGCGAGGGATTGAGACTTGGTCCGTCCCGTGAGGCTGTGAGGCCTAAAGGCTGTTATTTGTGGTTATGTGTTTACTTGTTGTTGAACTTGTTTGCCTTCATGTTAGAGATCATGCTTAGGCTTTATTCATGCTCACATTATTTGTACTTAGTTATAGAAATTATTGTACATATTTACCTCAGTCTCTATTATTTGCTAATATGTTGTGATACTTGATGTGGGTTGTGTCCCCTTATTTGTTGATGATAGTGAGGCTAGTGAGGTACATGATTGAGTAAGGCCGAGGGACTGGTTGTGAGGATATTAATGTCATAGCGCGTGAGTTGTCCGCGTAGCACATGAGTTGACCGTGCAGGTCCAGGTATGATACCATAGTGCGTGAGTTGTCTGCGTAGCACGTGAGTTGACTGTGCGGATCCAGGTATGGATATGATGGCACGTGAGTTGTCCGTGCTTAGCGCTTGGGTTTTGGGAGCCCCTCCGGAGTCTGTACACATCCCCAGTGAGCGCAGAGTGTTGAGTGTATTGAGTGTTGAGTGATGAGTGTGAGTGCTGAGTGATGGAGTGACATTGTTGTGAAGCTGCATTTACTTTTGTTGTTGCTGCATTTTACCTGTTAATTTCTTTGTGGCATTTACTAAGTTATGGAATTTACCTGTTTATTCCTATTATTTTTAAATTGTGAAAATAAATAACTGTACTATTTTGCTTAGCTCGTCACTACTGCTCATTTCCTTAGTTATTTCTGTTACTACTGAGTCGGTTGTACTCATACTACACCCTGCACTTTATGTGCAGATCCAAGTGAGTTAGAGCGCGGCAATCGTTGAGTTCAAGCCGGCTATCTTTGGAGACTGCAAGGTAGCTGCTAGCGTCCGCAGGGCCTTATTACTCCTTTTGTCATTTCCTCTTTTAGACAGTTAGACAGTTTATATATCTTAGTTTATAGTTTTAGACACTCATGACTTAGTGACACCCTGATGTTTGGGGCTCGTTTCTGTATTTTATATTATTTATATTTAGAGTTTGTTTAGTTATCAGGAATTAAATTATTGGAAATGTTTTATTAAATTTTTATAATCAAATTAGTAGTAATATTTTGGGAATAGGCTTGCCTTGTAACACGATAGGCGTCATCACGACCATGGTTAGATTTTGGGTCGTGACAGAAGGCTATCACTTCATTCTTAATCTTATCTCTCCTGGTACACCCACACATCCATCTCAACATCATCATCTCTGCTACTTTCATCTTCTGCATGTGGGAGTTCTTGACTGGCCAACACTCAGCTCCATACAGCATAGCCGGTCGAACCACCACTCTATAAAACTTGCCATTAAGTCTTGGCGGCACGTTCTTATCACATAAAACACCGGAAGCGAGCATCCATTTCATCCATCCCGCTCTGATGCGATGTGCGACATCTTCGTCAATCTCCCTGTTAGCTTGGATAATAAACCCGAGATACTTAAAACTCGCGCTCTTGGGGATACCTGGAGCATCAAGCTTTACTCTACGTCTGCTTCATGGGTTCCGTCATAGAATTTGCACTCCAAGTATTTTTCTGTTTTGGTTCTACTCAATTTGAAACCTTTAGACTCCAAGGTCTGTCTCCAAACCTCCAACCTCGCGTTAACTCCGTTTCGCGCCTTGTCAATCAACACTATATCATCGGCAAATAGCATGCACCAAGGCACTTCTCCTTGGATGTGCCGTGACAGTACATCCATCGCTAAGGCAAATAAAAACGGGTTAAGAGTCGATCCCTGGTGCAACCCCATCACCACAGGGAAATGCTCTGAATTACCACCCACGGTCCTCACCCGAGTCTTAGCATCATCATACATATCCTTAATCACTCTAATGTACGCTACTGGAACGCCTCTAGCCTCCAAACACCTCCACGGGACCTCCCTCAGGACTTTATCGTACGCTTTCAAAGCGATGAAGAAAGCTTTTGAGAATAATGAGTATTGAAAGAGAAGATACAAGCAACGTCCTGTTCCTGCCACAGATTTAGCTTTAATCACTGATGAATGAATACATCAAAGGTCACGGCGCAATTCACAAGAGATGTACATGAGATGTTGTGATTATGACTCCAAGACCCTTTTCAGATAGCTAGACGTAATGGTAAATGAACGATTTGGTGGGACGTTCAACCAAGTGTGTGGAAAATGCTAGTTAGCACACTCTATTCGTGATTTACGAAGGGGAAGGTTTGAAGTAAATCTCCAACTTGCTACGTTCAGACCATCTGTTGAAGGTTTGAAGCAATCTTCAACTCGTCTTTACACTTCTTTTCCTTAATATAACTTCTTTAGGTTTAACCGATAAAGTAAGACACTGATCATGGCAGTTTTGAGCAAAGGATTACCCGCGAACAAATTGCGACCCTATTTATTGCGGCAAATGTTCCATCTGTTTCCATAAAGATAGTGTCTTGGCCAGTCTGTACAAACCTCGACTGCACGTTATTGCGGCATATTTTGCTTTTACCGTTTGATGTTATCACTTACAACGAAGGACTAAAAACATTTTGACAATTTTTAAGATACTTAATAATATATGATACAATTCCATATGTAGTGTAGGGTAGTTGTATATATTAGGATCTTTTGTGGAAAGGACTAGATAAAACTTGAATGATCAAGTATAAGTTAGAAATTGAATACAACTCCGAACTCTGAATGTGTAAGTTGTTTAATTACAACAATACAAAATGTAAGACACATGGATTTAATTTCTTCCTAATCTTTAAGACTATACTTGGTATCAGTCGAAAGACTTCGGAAAGAATGTTGTCACCTCAATCACTGTTCCCAACTTTAGTATGCTGCTTCTTGTGTTAAGTCAAAAATGATACTAACCCCTATGCTATGGTTGGTGAAACTTACAACAAAATTAGTAGTTTCTAAAAAAGCTGAACAAGAATTCACAAGAGGTCCACGCCCAGAAAAAATGCAACTCACCGCTGATCGCTTGAATTTTGAATTCACTCAGTAGGATGCAGATGGAAAATTGAACGTACCATAAAGTATAAACAGACAACTACAGATATTTTGCTAGACTTTACATTACATTACTTAACAGCTCTCCGTCAACATGCACGTTTCACTATAAGGATAGTTTAGGAATTTCAGATCTTACCTTCTTTAAAGGTATTGTACATCCTAGCTGTAGCACTTGTACACGCTGATAAGTTTGCCAAAGTTGCAGGAGCCCACCTGAATGTCTTACGCCACGTATTCACTGCAGCATTTAAAGCTGCCACTTCCTCATCATGTGGGCCACACTTTGGATGTTTCAAGGCCACACTTAGCAGTTTAGCGGAGCATTTGCATCTATAATCGCTTTTTGGGTTACGTTTTAATTTGTGTTCGTTTTACAAAAAAAAATTGCAAGCGTACCCACTTTTTCGCAAAACTTCAGTATTCTAGTAGACGGGCCTGAAGTAGCAAGTGTGCTGAAGTTTTTGTTTGTAATTGCTGAACTTAAGCATAGTAGCTTAAGCTTTTGTTTGTAATTGCACTAAATAAGCTGAAGTTTTTTGTCCTAGGTTCATTAGTTTTGTCATTAAGCTTTTTCAAAAACTTCAGCAGATGATGCTGAAGTTATTTAGTTCATTTATAAAAACTTCAGTACTAAATAAGCTAAAGTATAAGTTTTTTTCAAAAACTTCAGCAGAAGATGCTGAAGTTATTTAGTTCATTTGTAAAAACTTCAGCACTAAATAAGCTGAAGTTTTTTTTGTCCTGGATTCATTAGTTTTGTCATAAAGCTTTTTCAAAAACTTCAGCAAAAGATGCTGAAGTTATTTAGTTCATTTGTAAAAACTTCAGCACTATATAAGCTGAAGTTTTTGAAAAAACTTTCTAACATACTAGATAAATAATCAGATTGCCAACAGTATCTAAATCATAAATTTTGAAAACAATAAACGTGAAAAGAACAGAATTATCATGAAAAGAATCACTAAGTGTGACCTTAAACTTCTCGTACGTGGAAATATTCACAAATTATTATCTACTAACTTACATAATTATTTATAATTTGTTTTTAAATAATCTGATAAACATACTTATGGTAATCATCCCATGAAGTGAAGTTTCATAGCTGCACCAACAGCAACAGAAGGAAGAAGAAGAAAACGAAGGAGGAGAAGGAGGAGGAGATAGTGGGCTGAAGTTGTTTAAAAAGTGGGTACAAGTTAAAACTTTATTAAAAATAATTGGTATAGGTTAAACGGGGGCGCCCTGCGTCCCGTGCAATTTTTAGCTCTCCATTTTTATATATGGGCTTTGCTTTTGTGTTCTTTTTAAAGAAACAATTTGCATTTCAAAATTTCAAAAACTTTTTTTCCCACTTTCTGATCAGAAGAATTATGAGGAAAAGGATAATTTAGTTGGATCTAGAAGCAACTACTGACGTTATAAGGGAGATAAATGGTACTACAAATTTTAAATGCCACGCCTTTGCTTGAGGATGAAAGTCAACTAATTTTAAAATTTTTAAATTCCAAATGATAAAAAAGAATGTTAAAATTAAAGAGTATAGTAAAACTGTAATCTTCTCCGGAAGAAAAAGGTTTCTCTTTTCATTCTCAAGAAACAAATAGGTCAAAATTTAAGATAAAGAGTATCATACGATACTTTCTCTTTAAATTTTTAAATATAACGATATTGGACAAATCAATTTTCTTTTTGGAACTATCCTTCTTTTTTGTTAATTCTTACGTATTTTAATTCATCACTCAAAATTGTACAGATAAAAAAGGGAACTCAGGGAAGAATAAAATTTAAATGTGCAACTACTAGGAGGAGCAAAAAATGCTCTATACTTTCAGTTTCATGTACACCTTTTTGAAGAATTTTCTTTTTTTGTTTTCTCACTAAAAGAATGGAATGTAAACGAAAATATACATAGATAGACAAAAAGAATTAGTACATAACTAGGATATCTATTTTGACATTAAAAATGGTCGATTTAGCCACACTTATGTCTAATTATCAAATATTAATCAAGATAAGTTTCGTGTGAAATAATTTGGTAATAAAAAATCAAAGAAAGAAACAAAACAAAAAAATTCTATTCCATTTCTAACTGCAAGTTCTTATTATCCTTGCATACGGGATAAAAATTATTTTTTCTATATATAGGCTAAGAATATGAGAAGTTAGACGAATCCACTCCCAAATTTCATCATGTACATTCTATTGTATTTTATTAAAATTTTATTTGTTAATAGCATATGCAATAGATTATTTTCCAAATGAATCCATCCTTAACAAATACTACTCTACAATATCAAAAATACTAAGATAGCATATACAAGTACAAAAAGAGGCAAAATCTTCTTCGTTTTCACATGTGAAGTTATAAACTTCAAATAATAATATTTTAGAAAGGGTCAAACAAATCACCTTATAAGTAGCACTAAAAAACGATAATGAAACAGCTTTTGGGTTAAGATAGTCCTAATATCTATTTTCTTAACAATGCCACAGACAGTTGCAATGAGAATCACAAGAAAGCAGATAACAACAACAACAACAACAACCCAGTATAATCACACAAGTGGGGACAAGAAAGCAGATAACCCTTGGAAATATTGGTTGAACAAAAATAAATATTTGACACCTAAACAATGCTAGCAAAAGGAACAAAATTGTTTTATCATAAACTTCAGATCAGAAACTGATCACTTTAACTAAAATAAAAAATGTAAAGTAACCCTAACACCTATATGAAGGAAATGGCATTCGTGCATGTCAAAAGTACAGAAATATTGAGGGCATGAAATCTCACAAGTCATCTAAATTTACACTCTTAGATGAACTATGAAGGTTTTGAGATAATTCTAATACAGGAACTGCCAAAGATTCCTCGAGATATCCTGCCATCACTGAGCCCAAACATGATAAATGATGCAAAAAGTGGACTCGAGCTCAGATGGTAGGTTCTGCTTCCTTACTTTGCACCCAAAGAAGGGAACTGGCGAACATCTTCAATGGATGGTGCTGAAACACTGTTGTTACCAACAAAACCATCTCTCCCACGATCACGTCCCCCCCTTCCACGGCCACCTCGGCCATAGTAACTTTCTCCATCAGCAGGCTTCAGAAACTCGTTAATGCTTTTTGTCTGCAAATATTCAAGAAAAATTAGGCCCACTACAGAAGATGATATAATAATTCACAGTAAATATATCACATTCAGCAATTGGTCTACCACTTATATATGGTCGCTGAGAAGTCAAACTTATTGAAGATTCAACTAAAGTTCGCATTCTACCAGGCTCTTCAAGGATTCATCTAGCTTACCCACCCCAGATGATATGTTTGATTGCTAGTGCCTCTGGCTTTAGGAAAAAGGTTCACCAAGCTTAAGGTGCATCCCTTATTAAACTATATAGCCAAAATACCCTTCCATGCCCCAGCCATTCCCTTACCCACTAAGGCAAAGAAAATGTTACTATGAAATTATTGAAAATAGAAGTCAGGCCAACAGAAATAAACCTCGAAACTCGGAAACAACTTTACCAAGAGTCCATAACTATGTAACATCTGGAACAATACACAAGCACATCATAAACAGCTTACTTAAGGAATCCACTAAATTTGCAACATGACCACCAGACATTGCAAAAGCTAACAGCAGAAGCAAGACCAAAGAGATGATTTGACCCAGCAATGACAGGACATCATGTAATGGACACGTGAACAAATTGGATTATAAAATCCATAATCCCTGGGGAAGTAGATTGAAAAGCCAATGCTTGAGTTACTTGACACTCAATGGTAAACTCGCAAGTAGTATCAAGCCAATAAATTCATTAAACAAGTGGATCTAGGATCTGTTGCTAACGCAGGAACCACAATGTAGCTTTTTATAAAAGCTTTCTGACCAAAATTTGTTAAAGCAAACAGCAATATGAAATTTTATGTGACTTCATTGAAGTTCTACAACAAAAATTCTGCAGGTAACAAGTTAGATACAAATATTTGACCTTCTCTAACTTTTATTGACCGATATATTGAGCCCTATTTCTTTTTCAAGGCGGAGGGAAACCTTCCTCCCTCACCCTTAATTACATCCACCTGCGTAGATGGGCATGTAGAAAACTTCCCTCCCTCACCTTTATATCATACTCCCTATAACTATGTGAAGGGAGCAAGAAGGTAGGAGGAATAGGCTGACAAATGAAGATGCCAGACCACAAATAGCAGTATAACTATGAGGTAACACAGACATCCTAAAAGATAAAACATACAACAAAACATGTAGCCAGCTTCTGAGATACCAAAATAGATGTTTCACAGTACTAAAGAACAAAAGGTACCTTCTTGGCCTTTTCCACTGCCTCCTTACGCTTGTCTTTCTCAGAACCCTGTCAATATTTTCAAGCATAATTAACTTACTAATAGAGAATAATCAAGTACTTAAAAGCCAGCACTATAGCAACTATATAGTAGCATATACCAAGCAACTCACCAATTTAATGAAAACCTCATCATCACTTTTCTTGTTTGACAGAAGTTGCATGGACTCAAGCTCTTTGTCCAAATTGACCTTTCTTTCCTCAGGCTTTAGAGCCAACAAAGCTTTCCTCTTCTCTTCCAATAACTTCTCATACTCTTCTAGGGTCATTTCCTACATATCAAGCAAGTAAGATAACATACTTAAGCAAATATGAACACTTACAAGTACAAGATAATATAATATGCAAATAACAGATCCAAAAGCAATATGAACAAATACCAGGCAACCTAATCCCCCCCAAATAGATGAAGGTTAAAATGCAGTAGTCCACCAGATTTCACATATCAAATTTAAAGCTGTTTCAATTAAACTGCATGCAATGTCCATGACAGGATGATATCGTTCACCATAAAAGAACTAGCAAGTATCTTTCTTAAAAAGAACTAGCAAGTAACCAAGATAAAGATAATACACTGAGAGATATGAATTTGTAACAGCAGAAGCAGACATGTCAACAAGTGGAAACAGCACAGAACAAGATAGTTACCTTCTCCTCAGGTTCCTTCTCCTGTGGCTCAGCTGCAGGAGAGTCCTTGCTTGCGTCTTCAGCATCTGCCTGCACTGCTTGTTTCTCGGTAACAACAATCTTCTCTCCCTCATTAACAGGCTCTTCTTTCTCCCTGAACTCGGATAGAATACAAAACTTATACTACAAGAAACAACAAATATGATGAATAAAGAAAGAAATTGCGATGAAAATGCTCACGGTGCAAGCTCATCAGCGGGAGTTCCCCAATTCCCACGACCAGCACCCTCTCGTTTAAATTCATTCCTATACAATAAGAATATGAGTGCACTTACACTTACTGCATTCAAGCAATAAAGTCATGCCAGCTAAATAAGCAGCTAACCACATTGCAACCAGTTGATCCCCCAGAAAGAAAAAGAAATGTGGAATGTGATTAGGTCATTTTAGAAGTTCCTTTAAATGACTTACCCACGTCCAGTTCCACTTCGTCGCTCAAACGCTCTCCTGGGGCGTTCACCATCTGCAGCGTCACCGTTGCTGAAACCACCACGGCGGCCACCGCGGAACTCCCCACGAGGTCCTCCATATCCAACTCTCCTTTCGGAGTGCTTCCCTGACTCTCCATCTTCTGAAGCTTTGTACCCTCCAGAGAACCCATTACTGCTGCCAAAAGTATTCTCACCATCAGCAGGATATTGGCTAAACCCACGGCCACGACCGCGGCCACCAAATCCTCCGCGTGGACCCCCACGGCCTCCTCCACGCTGGCCATCATTCCTGGCTTCCCTCACTGCTCAATAAACATTGGAAAAATAAGAAACCAGGAGAATCTCATTTGGACGACTCATGAGTGGTGAATGTGGAGTATAACAGAAGAACAAAACGTCTACATTGTTTTCAATACTTCCATACAAATTAAAGAGAGAAGGTCAGCAAAAAATATCAGACTCATGTGACTGTACCGTGTGTGTGTGAGAGAGAGAGAGAGAGAAAGAGAGAGAGAAAGAGAAGTGGAGGCATGAAGACCATAAGAATGGACATTTCTCTTATTCAAGTACAAACAAAATACCAGCCAAACAACTTTTCATTAATAATCAATGAGTTGAACATTCTACTTTTCAGCTACTTATAAGCTACCATACCAAGCTAAATAACAGACAAATCATGCATAAAACTTGAAGAAACTATCATTTTATCACATATGACCTAAAAATATCACCATGGTAGAGAGATATAAACTGTCCTATGACCTAAGAGAAGATTGTAGACATACATATGTACTAGTCCTCAGTTGCAACTATTTCATGACAGGAGATGATGAAAGGGAACAAGGTAGCTCGAAATCACAGGAGATAAATTCTCAAAATTACTAAAACTTCTTCGAATCAATGCAAACTTAGCCAAGAACATAAAATAACAGAAACAAAGCATCCATGAGACTACACCAACAAGGCTTCAGGAGTGTTCTGGTAGTAGACTCGATTGTCGTGTAGGGATAAGTGTGACATTTAGAAACACTCTAATTTGCGCTAAAAGACCAATTATTTAGTACTCCATTAGAATAAATTGGACATGAAGAGAATGCAACATATAAAAAGGATATATACAATCAACCCCAACTAATTTGGTATTCTAATCATTGATTATGTGACTTCTAACCAAGGGAAGAGAAAAAAGCATACATTTACCAACTTCTCAATACTAGCCGATATATAATATAAGATATAAACTATAAAGTATCCTAACCTTTGTAAATTAAGCACTCGCTCAAATACAGGAAAATTTTAAAAAAAAGTTCTAGTTTAAGTAGACTGACGTTCAAAGCAAGCAAAAAAAAAAAAAGTCCCTAAACCCTTCGTAGCAGTACCGAACTAAGGCGGCAAAAAAACATAGCACACATTCAGAGCTAAAGTGTGTATCTATTTTTTATCATGTGGTATCTTAGGCAATTTACATGATACCTCCCACCAGCAAAGTATATATGGTATTCAAATATCCCAAACAATTAGACATGGATAAGCGCAAATAATTAACAGAAAGTTGAAATTACCAGCCTCGGATGGAGGGAGGGGCTTAGCAGCAGGCTTAGATTGTTGAGCAGGTCCCTTCTTTGGAACAGAAGCAGGAGGAGGAACCTGTTTTTGCTGCTCAGCAGCAATTAACAAGCTTGGGTCCTCAGCATCGTCATCGAGAAGGTCAAATGGGTTCAAAGTTGCCATTTATTTGGGTCTTTTGCTGAATAGATGGAGAGATACAAGATATATTGTATTGTATCTAAAGCTTGAAGCTTTAGCAAGGATTTATTGCGAACATATAAATCCCTATTGATTAGAATCCATTGGAATAATGTAAAAAGCTTAAACTGGTTTTAGAAGAGAGAGAAAAACGGAGAGAAGAGATTGCGAAAACCCTAGCCAAAGCGGCAGATAATCGAGGAAGTGAGAGTGAACCTAATCTTAATAAACCCTAGTGGAGTGGAGGGGATTGGATGCGGGAAGGTTCACTGTAAAGTGGGCGTGGAGTGCATTTCGGTTTTGTCGGGTTTGTTGGGCTTTGACATTTTTTGCAATTTTGGATTCAACTGCTTCATTCTTTAATTAGTTAGGTTATGCCCCGGCCCAAACTCAATATGAATCTCAAGAATGAATAATCTTTTGCCAAAAAAGTAATGCACATCATAATCATCCACCCAGGGGCGGACCTAGGTTGGTAGTTGAGGGGTCACGTGACCCCATTAGCCTCAGCAAAAATTTTGTATATACATATTATATATATGTGTACTTATATACGAGACCCTTTAAATATTTTAATGGTGCCCCCAAACACAAAGTGATGAATGGAAGAAGTGGTTGCTTAGGGGACTTAAATTATCTCCTATGTTGTGGTGACGCAGGTTTGAAACCCCCGAACCTTTCCTTAGTCTTTTCTCCTTTTTTTTATTTTAGTTCTTTGAATACAATGTAATTTTTATTTAATAGCAAATTACTTTATTTTTACTTTAATCTTCTTCTTTTTTTAATATTCAATTATAATTTAGTACTAATACAAAATAGTCAACTTAATTGATTTTATTCTTTTTTGTAAATTCCTTCCTTAGAATTGAAAGTCTCAAATTGCAACTTATCGCTCCACAAATAGAAAAATACAAATCTTCTACCACAATCTTCTTTAACAATCACTTTGAATTGGCAATGGAAACTAAGAGTTTGAGACTCTTCTTCAATTCTTTTAGTAATAGCATACTCTTAATCTTAATTTCTTTAGTAAGTCTTTTATAACTTTACGTTTGAACGCCCTATTGCGAAGAATTCTCTCTCTCTCTCCCCCCGTTTAATGCTTTCTTTTTCTTTATAATTTCTTTTTGTTAATACTTGGATGATAAGTCATCATAATCATTAAGTTTCAAAGAGTTGCACGCCGAATTTTATCGCCGGTGATTAGCATATACAGTGGTGCCCCCGTCATGCTTGAATCCTGAGTCTGCCTCTGTCGACACCATATATATTTTGCAAATATATGATCTCATATGTATCCTTAAGCTAATTGATTAAATTCACATCAGCTATATTAAGATTCATATGTGCACGACGATAATTTGACTTAGGATTCTTGAAAAAAGATTTTTTTTTAGCTACAAATGTCCAATGAAAAGAGCTAAAAAATCACAGAAACACAGTTCTTCTCTTTTATGGTGAGCTTCGGAAACTTAAGGAGTTTTTTTCTATCCCGCTAGTTGTTTGCTATTCAATTCATAATGTTCAAGTGGGTTTCTGAGATATTAATAGTTACATAAAGTGCATACACATATATTGTATACTTAAGTTTTTATAGTTACTGATTGATGAATTTGGTGGTCTTTTGGGAGTAATTTTTGAACATAATGTTCAAAGAGTAGTTTAGATATAAAAAATTATTGGTGTATGATGAATGCAAAATACGATGTGCTTTCTAAGAAAGTTTTTCTTGCACCTCTTATTGTAGATTTTCTTTTTACTTTCAAGGGAAGACACAAAATATGCTATTTTGCTATTTGTTGTATTTTTATATTTAGAATATAAACTATGATAGTATCAATTTTTTTTAAATAGTGGTACATCATTAAAAAAATGATATTTAAGAGATGTGAAAATTATTAAACTTCAATAGTCATTATATTACGTAATAAAAAAAAACTATATCAATGCTTTAAATAAATTTTTTAATCCAATAAGTAATATTTATTGTTATACGTCAAAAATAACAACTTTAAATGATGTATCAATGCTTTATTTAGTTCAGTAAAAATTTAAATGATGACTAAAAAGATAAACCCCGTTCACCTTAACGAGAAATTTTCTTAAAAAAATGTATTTCACTGCTCAAATAATACATCTCTTTTTTTGGTATTCTACCTCCATAATAATACTTAGTGATTTCTTTTATAGATTATTCTAGTAATTAATGTAGATTAGAGGAAAAAATTGTCACCATAAATTATGGCCAGCCAAGCAAATCACCTGGCATGCCAAATGGCATTACACCGTACTACGGTAGGTTGCTATTGACACAAAGCAGAAGCTACTGACATGCATTGATGTGAAGGAACAAAAGCAGAAAAACTCAGTCAAAAGCAGAAGGGTACGATAGTCAAGGCAGGAGAAGGGTACGATAGTCAAGGCAGGAAAATATTAATGATGGAGCTACAGTAACAGTCTTTTTTGGCCTATCATATTGCACCATTACATGTGAAATGAATTAAACGTCCTTCCAAGAAGCACACACGACGACTTAAAGGTGCTTTGCTTTGGAGTCCGAAACTTTTCTAATGGCTTTTTGGGCAAAAAATATATTTTTTCAACTAAAAAAAATGTTACATAAATAATTAAAACGCATTATTATACTGTATTTTAATTTAACGGAAAGTTAGCCGTTAAAGTAAAACGCAGTACTTTCCGTTAAAGTAAAACGCAGTACTATACTGTGTATTATAGAAAAATGCAGTATAATACTGTATTTTCCTTAAACGCAATATTATACTGCGTTTTTCTATTATTATTGGGCCCAGCTATATTTACTTAAAGGGAAACGCAGTACAATACTGCGTTTAAGGAAAACGCAGTATTATACTGCGTTTAAGGAAAATGCAGTATTATACTGCGTTTTGCTTTAAAATTTGGGCCACCAATAATTCAAATACACAAAACGTGGTATTGTACTGCGTTTTACATAAAAAAAATTCTGCATCCCAAGCTTATTTAAAACCGTTTGAATTTTATGAAAATCCATTCAAATACTTTCCTTCAAACTTCCGTTCATACATCTCTCTTCTTCTTATCAATCTTTTTTTACAATGTCTGAAGAGCCAAAAATAAGGGTTTCATTATATTGGGGAGGGTGAGGTTGTGCTGGAGAATAACTCTGTGAGGTATAGCTCACCTCTATGGTGTCATGTTAAATTGCCGCTTACAATGGAGTACGATAAATTGGTATCGTTGTTACGTAAAAAAATGAGTCAGAGGAAGCGTTCGGTTAACCTTAAAGTAACCGGTAGATTTCCGTTTTCAGTGACTCCGCAGGGGTTTGCTTATTACTATGAGTTTAACATCGAAGATGATGAAACTCTTAGAGATTTTTTGCGAATTTCGGATGAATACAGGGAATTTATTGTAATAAAATTGATGAAAATGTACGTCAAGGTAGAAGACGTTCCCAGGGCGTGCATAGTAGGGATACCCCCAATCGTCGGGTGGTTATTTTGGAGCAATTTTTGCCAGACAGATTGCCGATGAAAGAGCTTGCCTTGATTTAAACTTGTCATCACCGGCGAATGAGCAGCCACAAAATAA